TTATTAACACTTTGGGAAATTTTCATACTCATATTCCAAGAAATGGATTTTATACGAATTTTTAAAACTTAATCGGCGAAAATTGCAAAATTCGAAACAAATTTCAAAAATTTATTTCTCAAAAACTAATAGCGAATTTTCAAAACGGCTTGTTGCATTAAAAACAGGATACTTTAATTAATAATTGGTGATATTTCCACATGGATCCCTCAAGAAATTAATTTTATATCGAATTTTGAAAATTATCGATAAAAATTGCAACATCGAAAATTTTATCAAAACTTCAAATATTGTTTTCTCAAAAACTAAAAGTTATTTTTCAAAACGGGTTGGTCCATTGGAAAGAAGACACTTTTATTAACACTTTGGAAAATTTTCATATTCATATTCCAAGAAATGGATTTTATACGAGTTTTTAAAACTTAATCGGCGAAAATTGTAAAATTCGAAAAAATTGTCGATCATTTCAAAATTTTATTTCTCAAGAATGTGATGATGAATTATAAGCAAAGAGAAGAAAACAAGACGAAACTGCAACAAGAGATTTTATACATATATAATATTGGGATTGTTACAAATGACAAAATAATGTTATATATAAAGTTGTATTAAATGAAAAAGGTCCTATTGGGGTTGAACTTGATTGTTATCTGCAGTGTCCAACACCTAAAAGAGATACTAACTCCTGTGAATGGTGGAGTACTAAAAATAGGTTTTTAATATCCGGCCAAACCCGGATATTTGGTAACTATCCGGTATTCGGCCGGATTTTAAAAAATGGCCGGATACCGGATAATTGCCGGATATTCGTTCCGCCACTACTAGATACTGTTGGCAAAAGACTAATTATTGCTATCAGAAGATTAAATACGACTATACTACTGTCTCAAAAAGTTACCTACTGCTTCTAAAATTATATATACTGCAGAAAAAGGCCACAACTTACTTGGAAAAGACTAGATACTGTTTTCAAAATAATACTTATTGCTTCCAGAACGCTAAACGCTGCTGTTAAAGGTTTTGACCTACTTGGAATAATGCTTCCAAGACTACTTATTGCTTTCAAAGACTTTAATAATTGTTTGGAAAAGAGATATGCTTTCCAAAAAGCTACCTACTGCTTCCAGAATATTAGATACTGTTGGAAAAGACTAATAACTGCTTGGAAAGAACATATATGCTTCCCAAAAAGCTACCTAATGCAGCCATAATGCTAAATACTACTGGAAACGACTAATAATTACTTGGAAACAAGAGATATGCTCTCCAAAAAGGGTACCTATTACTTCTAAAATGCTAGATACTAGTGAAAAAGATCACAATTTAGTTTATAACGTAGGCGAGGTTCAGTCCATAAACCTGCCAGTCCCCCTAATCTAATTATACGAGATATAATTAACAAAAAAATTAAAACTGCACTGAGCGACAAACAAAAAAAAAATCAAAGCAAAATAAATCAAACGAACAATCTCTTCGCATTTCCAAAACTAGATGCACAAAAACAAAAAGTCACAAAATAGAATTCCTATCATAAATGAAAGTCTTTTCCAAGTAAGTTGTGGTCTTTTTCGGTGGTATCTAGCATTTTAGAAGCAGTAGGTAACTTTTTGAAATAGTATTTCCTCTTTCCAAGCAGTTTTTAGTCTTTTACTAGCAGTATTTAAATCAACACTGGGACATCACAGCCGATTCATCAAATTGTCGCTTGCAAAGAAAAAAAAAGCCAAGGAATAATCGAACCATCCAGCAGCCCATGGGTATCACCTGAAGTTTTAGTCAAGAAGAAAGATCCGATTCTGTGTGGATTATTAACTTAATAACGTAACGAAGAAAGATAGCTACCCTCTTCCAAGAATTGATGACACGTTAGACACTTTGGCCGATTCGAAAATCTTTTTGACATTGGATCTGAAGAGTGGTGACTGGCAGGATTAAATTGCACCGAGAAAAAAAACACTTTTACTGTGGGAACTTGGCTGTGGCAATTCAATGTGTTGCTATTTGGAGTTTGTAATGCTCCAGCTATATTTGAGAAATTGATGGAAACTGTTCTGAGTTTGTCCTGAAAGACTTGTTTGGTGTACCTCGATGACATTATTGTCAAAAAATCCTTCGAGGACCATTTTAAGAATCTGGAGGAAGTATTCCAGTTGAAGCTGAATCCAAAGAAGTGTTACCTCTTTCAAAAGGAAGTCCAGATAAAGTGAATACCGTCCAAAAATGGCCAGTACCCAGCAACAAGCAACATATAGAAGTTATTCCAAGTATTAATATAATAATCATAATAATGTCAAATCAACCCCTAATAATAATTATTCCCCTACTATGTGTCACCAAAAATCTCTTTCTCTTCAGAGATTAAACTGAGAAAACCAATTTCGTTGAAACGGAAACAGATGTCGCGAAGCTTAGTAAACTTCAATATAAACGCCCCCCTGTTCGGACGTGCGTTGTCCAAAAACGAAGGGTTTTTATGCACTCCCCCTCGAAATGACAATCACAAAAACTAATCACATAGAAACTAATCCG